ATAGTCTTCTTGGCCTAGTGTTAATGAAAGCCTTTTACAAGAATGACACCCAGCTCTGATGATGTCCATCGAATGATGGGCGAAAGCTCTGCACGATTTCATTCAAAACTAGGAAGGAAGTCTCGTGGACTGCGTCAACATGAATATCGTTTAAAAGTCAAACTGCTGCAGTAAAACGAGATTCACCCGTCTTAATATGGTGAGATCGAACAACGAATCTCTTCTTTATGCACTTTCATACGAAATGAAAGTACCCCCAACAATACTAGGAGATATACTACTAATGCAACATATAATTAAAATAATTAAAATAAAATAGTTTATTATATACACTAGTAATATACTAGCTTACTATACTATTCCAATGCTTATTACCCAGTGCATTGTATATTGTATACAATATCAGATAATATTGCTAATAATAATGCAGAAATAATTCCTATTCGTAATACATAGTTATGGTAATTCCAGCGACAAATGCCCACTTGGATTTTCATTGCAAAAATGTCGGTAGAGTTTATTAAACAGCAAATTTCGTTATGTTTTATACTCACATTAGGATTCCCCATCCATTGCTTATTACGCTGTTTTTCAATTAATTAGGTGATCTCGTGCTTTGGTTTTGACAAATAGACAAACGCCTAAGAAGGCTTACAATCGCTATCTGGCTTGGAGGGGATGACTAGTGAAATGTATCAAACCTCTTGTACTAGAATGATAAGTAGATAAATAAAGCACCCGATTTGCGCTAGCAACTAGAGCAGTTATGCTATCCGGATCTATGCATCGTGTTTGCGTCAGCGTTGCTAAGTTCCAGGCGTCAGTTCTGTTCGCCAATTCTAGCAAGGCGCCTCCAGCCGCTGGAATTGCTGTGATCCTGGTGCTTTCAGCAGACCTAAGCGTCTCTTTGATGTAGGAGGTAGTACTTGAAGAAAATGCCCACATGTGATCTTTGGTCTCCAGAGGTTTAGCGAAGTTGGCTGGTAGAGGCGCATTTGTGGAGTCTGTGTAGTTGGGGCATCGAGACCATCGCGGCTGGGTAGTGAAACTGTTGAGGAGGTAGTGCAAGATCCAGGCCAATAGAAGGTTGTAGTAGACGTTGTAGATGGCACAGGAGATGGCATTCGTCCAGCCGATTCCTTGGCTCCCCAGTCCGATATAATAGGGGGAGAATAAATTCCAGAAGGATGAATAAATTAGGATAAATTTGTATGCAGAAAGTTGAGCATTGATTCTCGAAAAGAAGATGAAGGATGCAATAAGGAGGGCAGAGTTTCTGGAAATGACCGAGACG